GAAATAAATAAAGTCTTAAAAGAAGTAAATGCTTCAGTTAAAAAAAGAAGTAAAGACTTCAGTTAAATGCCAAAAAGAGTCTTGTAATAAATATTGGTACAGTATACATGATAAATAAATCAAAACAATATAATTTTAATACCATACATATAAATAATATAGAAATTTTTATTATTATTATTATTAATTAATTGGATAGTTGCTCCTAGAGGGCCACCCGCTCCCTCCCACCCAGTTTTTTTTATTATTACATAATATTGATACTTGTTGTCATATAGGCCGGTAAAGATGTCTGCGCATCTATATAACCATTTCTTGCTACCTCACAGCAAATTTTTAATGCAGCTTCTGTTACAAGCTTTACACACTTTTCCACCGCTTGCGTTTGAATGGGTAACTTGTCGAACCTTATATAGAAGTCGTTTGCTTGACTTATAAATATTTTTAGTTCTTTTATTTTAAAAAACATTTCCAAATTTATAAACATTTTTAACCCTAAACCGCCAAATTTTTGACATCAAATTCTAATATCGGACATTTTTTTTGTAAACATATTGTTAACATAAGGTAACTTTTTGTAGCTACCCCAATTAAAATATAAAAAAAAATGTTGGGCCCCCGGGGCACCCCTAAATATTGGGCTAGTACGCTAATTTTTTTTCTACAATTATTGTCAACATAATGCAACTTTTTATTGCCACCCCAAACAAAATATAAAAAAATAATATTTTGGGCCCCCAGGGGGACCCTTAAAAATTGGGCTAGTACGCTATTTTTTTTTACAAACTACTTTTGGCATAAGGAAACTTTTTTTTGGTACCCCTAAATTGAATTCAAAAAGTAATTATTTCGGCCCACCCTAACGCACACTAAAAAAGGTTCGCCATCACTGTTCTAGGTGGTGTAATTCCCAATAAAAATCCATGAAAATCAACGAAGTTTTTCAGAAATTATTATTTTTTAATTGGGTCCTCCAAAGGTTTTTTTAGTGAGGGTTGAATAAAATGTCCAAGTTGTGTGAGTTGGGGAAACGGGGTGAGATGTTTTTTTGTACGAGTATTAGTATAAGGAACGTATGGCAGGCCCCACCGGCAACGTCGATTCGATTTTTTATTGATGCAAAGTAGAAAAAATGATTTTTACAGCCTAGGCTGTAAATAACGTAAGCTGTTTGATATAAATCATTTTTAAGTGACTCACTTTAGTTACAGTAACGAGTGTTAACAACAATAACCGATTGAAGATAAATATTTTAATATCTTCATTATTTTAATATAAAGTATAGTGCTTTAGGTATTTTTTGTTGTATTAGGTAAAAATGAAATAATTGGTTTTATCTTACACTTTTGTTTAAAAAAAATATAACTGCATATTAAACTACCTACTTAAATTTCATAGTTCATTTGTTCTTTTTCCATACCATACCATAATAAGTTCAAAAACGATAATTTTGGTATAATAATTTCACATTCAAAATCGGGCAACACAGCAGCAGGGAAAATATGGAAAATAAAATTGTAAATAAATTTTTCGACGCGGACGACAATAATTGTATTGTATTGTATTATACCTACTAGGAAATATTTTGATTAATATAATATTAATAATATTTCATCAATATTTTATAAAATAATTATTCTCAGCTGTTTAGCAAATACAAACTTAATTACGGAACACAACCTTTATTTGTTATAATATTAATTTGTTATAACTAATATTATTTTTGTTATACAAAATGAATAAAGGAAAAAAGCAGTGATTCAAAGCCAAAGGCGGCAGATCTTAAATGTCTCGCAGCGTCTCAGCGCTATGAGATATTAATATCACTCTACTAATTAAAAGAATGAGAATAAAGATTTGGCAACGCCGATTTAACAAGAGAGAGTTAGGTATAGCTTGAACTGCAGGCACAACAAAGATAGTTATATTGTCACGCCCACGCGGAAGTCAAATCGTACCGTTTGTTAAATATTTGTAGCGACAACAGCGCCAGCGGTATATACCCGAACTAAAGGAAAGTTTTGTAGGTATATATGGCACTCACTGACTTCCAACCTAAAATTTGAAATAACGCTTTTTTCGACCTCTATATGACATTGCGCTAAAAAAATGCACTTTTCGTAGTGACTTCCGAAATCGGAAGTCACATCGTTATATATGAAGTCACAACGTCTAGTGAGTATCTATTTTGGAAGTCACTTGGTACTATTTATCAATATATATATATATATATATTACATATTTTATTTTTTTACATTTTATTTTATTTTTTTAAATACGTAATATATATATATTTTAATGATTATGTTAAAGTGTTATTAATGATTAAAATTTTATTTTATTATTATTATATGTTTAGTTTTAAAAATAATATATTATATATATAAGCGCATTGTGTTTTTTTGTTTAGACATATTAAAAACATTTTTTTCACTTAATAAAAGTTTTATTTTTATATATGTTTAAGTTATACACAATAACCATTATATACATACAGGGTGTTAAAAATAAATGGTAAAAAATCAAGGGGGTAGAAGACGAGCTGAGACAAGCATTTTTTGTCTTAGGGACATGTCCAAAAACGTCCCCCTACTGAGCTACAGACGTCAAAAACTGCGGGCACCGTTTGAATTTTGCGCGCTGAACCGCCGTATGTAACATTGGTTATAATTGAACCGGTGAGAATAAGAACAGTACAAGTCCAAAAATTTTATTTTGACAACTCAATTTTTAAAATCAATTTAAAAGTTCAAAAGGAATTTTGTTTAGGTATCTGTCACTTTTAGTATAATTATAACCCTATAGGGTTAGGTATGTCAGATTGTCAAAGACATGTCAGATTGTCAAAGACATGTCTCGTAGGGGGTAGTTTCTGGATACATGTCCCAAAAAATACTTGTCTCGGCGTGGCCTACCACAACCTTGAAGTTTTAGCATTTATTCCATAACCCTGTATAATTATATATAATTATATGTGGACCAAAATTTATATATTATTATATATGATCATGTATGAATTTTGGTCCCTATATATTCATATATAATTATATATGATCATACGTGGACCAAAATTCATGTATGGTCATACATGGGCAAAATTCATACATGATCATATATAATGAAATTATATATAATTATATATTATTATATATAATTTTTTTTTCCCGGGTACTAAATATAGTCCTATATTTTGTAAACATTTGACATCCGTTCCAGCGTATATCGGCTTTACACTCAGAGCTGCAAGCTCTCAGAAAACTTAAATCGTTTTTTTGATTTAAATCGTTTTAATGACTTAAGTCATTTGGTAATAAGTCATTTCTCTAAAACTGACTTAAGACTTAAAATTTAAGTAATTTTCAAAATGATTTGTGACTTAAATATTTTTTTCAAAATAGAAAAAACTTAAGTCATTAATAAAAGGCTTAAATCAGTACATACGATTTAAGTCATATAGAAACGATTTAAGTCAAAAAAAGATTTAAGTCTTTATAAAAGTCGGTAAATTATTTAAGTAATTTAAAAAGATTTAAGTCTTTTTGAAAAAGATTTAAGTCTTTTTAGAAAATATTTAAGTCAGATTTTTCATATATTTTTTTATAAATTTTTAACAGCGGCATTTTCTTTTGAACTGCCAGGGGTTCACGCGGCAGCAGATCAAAAACTCCTTTAATTTCCTACCTACAAATTGTAGGCTACAATTGCTACCGCTAGTGAATAAAAAAAACCGCTGCGGTAAAGTTAGCTTTTCGGAACCGTTTGACGGCTACATTAAAAAATGTCCTGTCTAAAATAAATGAAAAAAAATGCAGATTTATAATTTTGTTATTTTGTTTGCCTACATTCGTCGTGTTATGCGTGCGTTAGATCTAATTTGTAACTTTTATCTATTTTAACAGAGTTTGAATCTATTACCGTTTAGAAGTTACCCATTTATGTATATAAAAAAGTAGCCTCCCTGTATGGACTCTACTAAAAAAGGTGGTTTAAGTTTTTATTTTGATTGTCTACTCAAAAAATGTGTTTTAAGTTTATATTTTGTTTGTAAGTGTTCTGAAAATAAATCGTTTTAAATTCTTAACATAGTGGTTTATTATCATCTGTATCTACAATAGATTAATAATATCAGTATCATTAATACCATAAAATTATTATCAACATTTAAAAAATCGTTGTATTGACTTAAGGGTAATTATTTTGATTTAAATCACAATTTTTGATTCAAGTCATTTTATTGACTTAACTCTTAGATCACGATTTAAATAAAAAATATAGACTTAAGTCATAAAAACGACTTACTAAAGGAATTAAGTCATAAGATGACTTAAATCACTTTATATTGATTTAAGAATTTGCAAAAATGACTTGACTTGAAAGAAAATGATTTAATTCAAAGACTTAAATCATTTGAACTTTATCTTAGAATTGACTTAAGATTTAAATCATTTTGATTTTAGAATTGACTTAAGACTTAAGATTTAAGTCTTTTTAAAACTGACTTGTTGCAGCTCTGTTTACACTTATTTCTTTTTTACATGAGAAGGCTTTATCTGATGCGTTTCCTTTAAAACAGTGTATCTTCGTCAATAACAAAGATAATAACGCGAATAAAAAAACAAAATGTTCACAAAATATAGGACCACAGATTTAATTTAATTTACATCCGTTATAACAGTATATTGCTAATAAAGTGTCACAAATTTTAGTCAGAAAACTTCTTACTTTTGCACCCTGTATAAACTAAAGTAAAAATGTCTACCATAGCATCTTTACAGAAGAGTCAACCTACATTTAAAAAAAAACAGATTTTTTATTATTCTACTAAGCAAAATATAGAAACTTAAGCGATTTAAATTTTGGTAGAGGGAGGGGAACCTCCTAAAATTAGAAAATAAGAGTTGTGATATTTGTTAAATTTTTATTTCGGCACAACATAAGGATATTTCATGCTACATTGAAAAGCAAACACACTAATGACTATATTATATTTTGCAAATATTTTAGAAAAAGTTTAAATCATAATTTCCTAAATCGGTCGTATTTGACCAGGCAGGTTGAGTAGCACCATCCATTTCAGGAGCAAATGTGTTGTCGTCACGTAGGCGATAATTTTTGCCTCCGATGGTGGCGCCACATTCGTTGCACTTGCTCTCTACCTTCGCGCCACCGCTGCCGCCAATAGCATAAACATGCCCGTTGGGGCATTTGAACCAGTGTTCTTTGGACATGCCCATCGCTTGAACTATGCTGCGACGCTCAGCTTCAGTTATTTGCACTCCCGAAGCCGCTTGAGTGTTTAGTTTTTTTAGGTGATTCATAATTCTGTCATCAAGTGCATTTAAGTATCTGAAATATTAATTAATATTGTTAAGCTAGCTAGTATAAATATTAAGTAAATGGGTAAATTTATTAGTTATTATTTTTTTGCTTAATTTTAAATAAATAAATTGTATCTATAATTTTTCCAATAGCGAGCGGTCTCTTTCATAAAGATATTAGGAAGTAAAAACATGGTGGTACAAATAAACTGTATAAAATTTAACAAACAATTATTAGAAAACAACAAGTTTTAAAGTAGATACAAAAAATTATCATTATATGCAGAAGATGGAAGAGATTATTAATTGGTACCCTACCATGTTAAAAAAAATAGTTCAAAATGTATCATCTTCCAATTGTGAAAAGCATATTTTTTTCTTCTTAAGATCTACAATTGTTAAGGAAGCAGTAGGGTTTTTATTACATATTTTAAAACTAAACAAAACAAAGATAAATAAAAATGCTATTGCAGTAAAGTTCTTGTCTAAATTATCAGGGGGCGCCATAGAAAAAAAATTGGGACCACTTGGCCGTAATACAATTAATTTGAATATTGGGGTGTGTTATTTTTAACTTAGCTGTTTAATAAGCAAAACTAAACATTTTTAAAATATTGAAATATTAAACTCACATTCCATACAGATTATACACGACGAGTTTACCCACTCCACTTTTATTATGTTGCTCAAAGAGACAATACATTATTTCTTTCGTCGATTGTTTGTCAACAGCTGTTTTCACCCAGTTTCCAAAGTTTTTTTCATTAATGAATAATTTGATAATTATTTTTAGTGCAATATTAATAATTCAGGTCTATAGCATAACCAATATCGAGTTTGTGAGCCGACTTTTCTTTCTAATTTTTTCATTCAAAAACTTTTTCTTTCTTTAATAGGTAGGTACAGATGTACCTATTTAAACCAATTTGGCATAATCTAACCCTTTCGCTTATGGCGTACTAAATTTACCTACTACGTCGTTTTTATCCATTTTTTCACGTTCTCATATCCTAATTTTAGCACACCTTGTAAAAAAAACGAGCAGAGAAAAAAAATTTTGAGGTACCAAATATTTTGTTTTATGTGTTATAAATAATTCGTGAGCGAAAGTACTTTTTTCAATGATATTGCGGATTAAATCAATTTTTTTTATAAAAAAATAAAATGCCGAACTTCAAAAATTAAAGGTTGTTCTAAAAAAACTGGAAAATTTTATAGAATATGATATCGAAAATTTGTTTTGTATTTGTTTCTGAAAAGTATATTTAAAATCAAAAAATTAGACGTCCATTTAATCAATTTTTAAAGTTATGGGTATTGGAAATAGAAAAAAATTTTGTGGTTGGGTAAAAATTTTGAGAATCATATAAAAAAATCAGCCTAATCGAAAGGTTAAAAAGTGGTCCATTTGGCGTGGAACGACCCATATATATTATACAGTATATAGTATAATTTATACTCTTTAAGTCTTTTTATACGATGCGTTTTATTAGATCTAAACTATTCATGATAAGTTAAATGGCAATTCTGGTTTAGGTACTTCCCTACAAAATTGTCTAATACAAATTTTTTAAATTCGTACTTTGATCATTAATATCCTGGAACATTTAAATACGACGAAAATGTTTTATATTGTGCAAAAAATATTTCGTGCGCAAAGGAGATTGATTCATTTAATGTAATATTTTAACTTTTGTAATGCACATTTCAAGCTTTAATTATATTGCATTTAAAATATCATAAGGATCACCGGGAACAAATCAGCGATATAGTATTTAAAAAATTTAGATGTAAATTATATTTAAAAAATAATAATTTCAAATAATAAATTATTAATAATTACGAATCGATTGTTTTCCGGTGTTTGACCGGGATTATGATCCCGGTCAAACATCGAAAACCTATTTCAATGCAAACAATCGACGTTCCACAATAAATAAATAATCCGTTGTCTGTCTTTGAGCAACGTCACTAAAGTAGAGAGGGTAAACTCGTCGTGTATAATCTGGACACACTGATTGCCTAGCTTACCTTGTTTTGGAAAATAAATCATTTTCGATGATGCGCATGCGTTCGGCTACTTTAGTTTTGACGAATGCATAGTGCTTAGAAGCGACGATTCGTTCGAACTGTATAATGCGCTGTAGCCTCGTCAATTCCTGATTTATGTCATCGATTTCCTGGTTGGAGATTCGATCATCCTGGTCGTTTTCCAGAACTTTTATTATCATTTTCACTTGATTTATTACCCTTTTACCCTCAATAAGGTAACTTATATTATTCACCCTTGCCTGGCCAAACCTCTGCCTTAAAACATCACGTCCTTCACCTTCGACCTGACAAAGTATTACAATGTGCTCCAAAATTTGTATTTTGGCTTGAATTGCATTCAATTCTGACGCTAGAGGCCTATTGCGACTTTTTTCATTTGGAGTGATGCGCTTCAATAAGGCTTGCATGAACGGTTTAATCAATGGGGTTCCTAAAAAATACGGTGGGTTTAATTATAACATTTTTTTCTTAAGCTATTTAAAGGTTGTCGCAAAAAGCCTGAGTAAATACGAAAACTGTCGTTTACAATCATACAGGGTATACTTACTTTCTTTGACTTTTAAATATACATCTGATAATGTTTTATGCAGCTCCGATCTTTTCTCTTCGTTGTCATGGTATGTTCCATTGAGTTTCCGCTTGACCTTTTCGACGTCCAACATCGCCAGTTTAAGGTAGTCGCTGAATCTCAAAGTTTGCGTGACTGGTGCCTTACACTTCGGACAAGCCTTCACCTGAATCTCACTGTTGGTCTGCATAAACCAGCTGTTCAGGCCTTCGCTTTCCAGCACGTGTCCGCAGTCTTTGAGCTGCACGAATCGTGCTTCCGGTGCGTCTTCGTCTCCTAAAAACACAAAAGCGGGAAAAAACAATTTTTACATTTCAAAAAGGAAGCCCAAAATTGCTGATCTGTGCTTACCGAAAAATATTTCGGTGAGTTCCTCTTGATCGCATATGCGGCACAAAGTTGGACACGGATCTCCGCAGAACCCGACGCAGGGGTGTCCGCATTTAAGCCTTTTATCGCAAGGCTCTTCGCAGGGAGGCACCGAACAAATTTCTCCGCAGTTTTTGACGCACTGCTGATGTTTGCATTTTCTATCGCAACGATGTGCACAAGGAGTACACACCTAAAAGCAAAATACAAGCAATTTTACATAAAAATAATAATTATTATTATTATTATAATTTTTTACAAAAAAGAATTATAAACAAAAAAAAACAATTAGGTATATAAAAAAATGTATTATGAAAAGTAATTATATTTTGCAAAATAGTCAGGTAAAAATGTTATTTCAACTAAAACCCTGATTTTTTTAATAAAACCCCGTTTTTTATTTTGTACAAACCTCTCCGCACCTTCTGCCGCATCTGCTATGCGGACAACGGTATATGCACTTTTTCTGGCAGGGTTTGCACGCTTGCCGGCACGGAACCGTGCACTCGTGGTTGCATACCAGCGGAACGCCGCATTTTTCCGCACACTTGACGTGTATGCGACCTTGGTAACATGCGCCGCACGAACCCAGGCACTTGTGATCACATTTCAGCGTCGCACCGCACGGTTCCTTGCAAAAATCAAGCAAGTCCACATCGGTTGAGCCATGCATCACTAAAACGCCAATAAAATATGAATTATGTTTATTTTGGGTGATTTTTTGGTCACCTTTTATGTATATAAAACACGGCATTTGTTTTATGACGTGTCCGCAAGGCGAGATCACCGCGCATGCAACCATTTCTTTGCATTCGGTGGTGCAAGTCTCCTTGCACCTTTTTATGCACGTGTGTCCGCATGGTAACTGTCTCGGACATTTTCCCCCGCAAAATTTTCTATCTGCTTCTTCATGACAGGCTACGTTTATTTTGTGACCACAATCGGGAACAACTTTATCAACCTAAAACACGAATAAACTAATTTAACAAATAAAATAAGGATTGCGTTTGTGTGACAAAATACTGCTTGATTTAGAGAATACGCCGGATGATGGGTAGCAAGCTGAATGTTTAATTACTTTTTGAATTTTTATCGTTTCGGACTAATTTAATTAGAAAAATAAAATTTCTTTCATCATTGCGGGTCACATATATTCACTGATCTAAAATTGATGTAATACCTTGTAAGTGCACAATCCGCAGGGCTCCGAGCACTTGTTCTTGCACTTGTGACCGCATTGCACCGTTTTGGTGCACGGTTTCTCGCAAACGATTTGATCCATGTCGGAATTGCAAGCGACCCTGTAAAAGTGTGAGCAAACGGTTCGGGCCTTCTGGACTTCCAGAAGACACGGCTCGCACTCCTCGAAACAAAGTTTGCGACAACGGTGGTGATCGGCTTTGGTCGTGCAGTCTTTTCTGAACTTTGGGCAGGGCTGTCTGCATTGGTACTACAACAAAAGCGTATAAATCGTACAATAATGCGTCTTTTTAGTTTGTACGATTAATTTTGGCAACATTTTTACATTACTTACCTCTAAGTGATCGGGATCGTATTTGACGTGACATTTTTTCATGCAGGCGTGTCCGCACGGCTCGACGCGCACATCGCACGGAAGCGGACATTCGAAGTTATCGACATCGATGTGACATGGCCTGTCGACTTCATGGCCGCAGCGCAGTTTCGTCTTGACCGGTTCGCGGCACTTGTAGTTCGTGTGGTCGATGTGGCACTCGAGCGACACCTGGTGGCCGCAATCCAAATCGCGCAGCACGCGGTACGTGCACGGGCCGCAATCCCTGTAGCATTCCAGGCGACATTTGTGATCCGGGTTCGAGTCGCACAGCAACCTGTTGATATTATATTGAATTGCTTTCAGAGAAACTTATCATTAAGTGACACACTGACTTAGTTTTATATGAGAATAAGGCACAGTTTGACAAATAAAAAACTTAAAGAAAAATGTCTTAGCTAGCAGTGTAGCTACTTACTTTGTGCACGGTTCCAAGCAACGAGATTTAGCGTGGTCTCTATCTTGCACGTGACAAATCATTTTGCAAATGTGTCCACACGGTAACGAACCATTACATTGCAAATCGCAGCCACCTTCTCTAACTTGCAAGAAATCTTCTCTACACTTGACGAACGTTTTCTTATAGGGATGAACCTGGCACACCAAGGGCAAGCTTTCCCCAATGGCTTGTTGATTTACCAGCGTTTCTTTAACTTTCGGCCAAATCTAACAAAAAAAAAGAGATCACCCATCAATTTCCTTTGTAGGACATCAATGGCCTTCAATTAAAAAAGGCCAGAGCGCAATCAAATAAACACCACTGACCTCGCTATTTGCAGCCAGCAACTCCATGTTACCGATGATGTATAGACCGTTTCTGGCTCTGGAAAGGGCCACGCACACTCTGTTCTCGATTTTCAAGAACCCGACGGAATTGGCAGTGTTGGAGCGCACCAACGACAACAGAATTATGTCGCACTCTTCTCCTTGGTAGTTGTCCAAAACGGCAACTCTTACGTCACTCAGAAGATTCAACCCGTCCTTTTCCCTAAGCTTTATTATTTCGAACATTTGGCCCAAATACGCCGCCAAAATGGTTATTTGTTTGGCCTCGTAGCCGTTGAGTATCAAATATTTGGCAAGGGCCAACACAAATTCCGCTTCGTGTTTATTTTTCTTGCTGGAGTCGTCGCACTGTGACTCCGGGTGCCTTAAACCAAGATTTACTTTGTCTTAAGATTTTAGTGAACATTTTAATAGGACATGATTAAAAATAGGGAAAAAATTCGATAAAACACAAAATTCTTTTGGAAAAAGAAAAGAAAGAAATGGGGCTAAAAATTTTATGATGATAGAAAAGATGGTTCTTAAAATTTTATTATCAGATGAACCCCGTTCTAGTCGACCACTCGCCGAAAATCATAGAAAGAGTATATACACATTGCTGAGGAATATTTATCACCAAACAGTTTTCAACCATTTACAGAATGCTATATACAAGAAAAATATTGATATTTGGGTGCCAAATGATTTAACAGTTAAAAATGTTTAGAGCGAATTTAATTAAATACTATTTGTTTCGATCTCTGCAAAACTCTCTTAGTGTTGTATAAGGTTGTCTTTAACCCTTTAAGTGGCAGAGTCACTATACTGACCACCCTCGTGATTAAATGTGGCGCCAAATATTTGAACACCCAACCGTACTTCTGCTATCAATAATAACTATAACATCATGCCTAAAGGCCTGCAAATACACTCAGTTAACCAACGTCCGCTACGCATGACGTATTTTGAAAAAGTGGTCACTTAACTAACCATCGATACTTTACGAACATTACTTTTTTCTTTGAATGTGCAAAGTGATATTTGTGAACATATTTAGGTGAGTAAATGCTATTTTATTATTTTGTAAATAACATTAAAAACTTTCAATATGTTTCTTTGTATCTCAGTTGCAAAATTAAGACAAAATATTTAAAGTATTGGGTGTTTTGGGCCTCATAAAGGGCAACTATTTGTTTTTCAGAAAATATAGGTTAGGTATTTTCTGGTACTATTTTTCCTCATTACAAGATACTTATATTTTTTCTTACACCCCAGAACTATAATTATCAAAATGTAAAATTCTTATTTCACCTAATATCAACGGCTTAGATAATATTTTGATACTACCTGAACTCCAACTGAAATCGTCTCGAGTCTACCGGACACAGTGGCAGAGTCACTATACTGACCACCCTCGTAATTAAATGTGGCGCCAAATATTTGAACACCCAACCGTACTTCTGCTATCAATAATAACTATAACATCATGCCTAAAGTTTTTAAGTCAAATTCCCTTGAATAAATAATGAGTTTCTGCCAACAATATATTTTTTGATAAAAGTGGTCAATAAAATGATTTGAGAAATTATACTACATCTTGTTTTCTTGAAGTAACCAAGATCACTATACTAACCACCCTATTCTGATAAAAAGGGAGGGGGTAGATTTTTTTGTATATTTTTTCAAGCATCCTGGGATCCATACAAATTATCTTCAATAAAAAAAAAATGTGTTTCAAAGAAAATTTCTTCTGCCACTTAAAGGGTTAAAGAAGCCTGTAAAAATCAAGTGGTTCAATTTCCGCTCAGAAACCACAGAGGTTTATTAGAAAATACAAGGATGTCGAAAAACAGCAGATTTGCTTACCTGTGATCGATAAAAAACAGGTTCTTCTCTATGCCGTCGATCGGGGGTCGATTCTCCACGGAAACGTGGTTCACCAAGTCGGGATAAATGGTGGGGGCGACCAGGGCGGATATTTCCGGTCGCATGCGGTGCTGCACGTTCAACGTGTGGCACTCGATCTTATTGTTGATCATGCGCTCGAAAAGGCTGATGCCCAGCTTGAATTTGGTCTCCATATTGAAGTCGGCCGTGCTCGGCTTCAGTTGTTGATGATCGCCGATCAAAATCAGGTGCTGGCAGTGCCGTGTGAGGGCGCTGACGATGTGGGCCTCCAACACTTCCGCTGCCTCCTACGACACCATCGAGTTTAAAGGGTTAACTTCATCTTACACGTTTTGTAGTAATGATAACCAACGTTTTAGAATTTTAATTCATAGCATTAAGAATAACAAATTACCTCCACAATGACTATAGGGCACTTGATAGCTTGAAGGGCGGAGTTCATACGGGCAGCGCCGGTGGTGGTCATGCCGATGACAAGATGTTCCTTCATGATCTGAGCGTCCTCTATCGACCTGAGCTCGTTGTATTCCCTGTAGTTTTTGCGAAACGATTCCGCTAATCGATTCTTGTTGCCGATCAGCTTTGCTCTGAACTCCTGCAACCAATGGAAATACAATTTCCAACGCATGTTCGGCGGCATCTCATCGGGTTGGTAGAAGTCGCATTCTTTCGGTTTTTTCACGTTGAAGTTTTGCTGCGAGCCCCAAATCAATTTTTCCTAAAATAAAAAAAAATGTACAAAACATTCAAGTTACGGTCCACCAACTAACTCGTAAGAAATTGAAGTCGTTGGTCATTTCTTGGATTTCGTAATTTAGTCGAATAATTTCATCAATGATTTTTGGATCATCGTTGTTTTGATCTTTGCATACAGATTCGAAATGGCGTTTCCAGTTTGTAATGGTGTCGCAGAGTTGTTTTAAATCTATTAACGGTTTTGAATCTGCCACCTTAAAATCTTCGTTAAATATATCGTCCCTTACGTTGTTTTCCTCATTATTATTGTCTACGATTTCTTCAACGACTTCTTCTTCATCATCTAGAGCAGGTTCCATTTCGGGATCAGGCTAAAATACATAGTTTTATCAAGATAAATAAATACCAGGGGGTGTTTTTTGAAATTCGCGACTTTATTTTCTATAGAAAAAGATCTATGTAGAAAGCAATAAACTAAACTAAGTGCAAAAGATTGCTTTCTATAGAGATCATTTTCTATATAAGTCGCAAATTTCAAGATGTGATATCTACCTGATTTATCCCCTGTTCCTGCACATGAAGAGCAGGCTTTGCTGCCATCAGCCATCCTCTTAAGTCGTCGTTGCTAGCTCTAGCAAACCAGGACAGCTCATAATTGGGAATAATATGTGCAAAATGTTCAAATGACATGACGTAATTAAACGACTCCACCTCTTCCAATAAATGATTATTCTGCTTGATTTCTCTAACAATGTCAGACACCACATTCCGTATCTGGCTGACGGCGGCCGGCATCTGGTGCTTTTTTTTTCGAATGTTGAATTCGTTTAGCGCCTCGTTCTTAGACTGGCCACCGATGCGCAGAATTTTCTGGGTACATGCATGGTTCCATGCAACTATGCCTTCGAGAAATTGGTCCAACGCGTGGTTCGTGTTGCAAATCAGCAACATAGGGCTGCCCTTGTACCAAGCATGGTGGTTATTGAGCAGCGTGTGGGCGATTTTGAGACCGACATGGGTTTTACCGGTGCCCGGTGGACCCTGGATGATGGCCAGCTCTTTCGTAAGGGCCGCCTTTTAACAAGGAGACAAATAATCGGTCGGTTTAGCACATTATATTTTTGATACTTTCCTTGAAGTATAATTGTATGTCCAAGATGTGGTTTTATATATTTTAATTGAGGCGCTTCTTACTAAAACAGCCATGGTTTTATTTTTTTTTGCAGAAACAGAGCTTACCAAATAATTAGGCTCAAAATTAACCGAAATTAAAATTTTTTGGACTAAGGCTGTTTTTGTAAGATGCGCCTCAATTGTTTTTAATATATTTCCACGGTAAGAGCGTTTCAAAGTGCCTATTAAACTTATGAGTGCTGTGAAAAAATGCCAAGTGCTCTGGAAGCCAATTTTATATTTCCGAATATTTTATAGTAAAAATAGTTTAAATGAAAATTTAGAAACAACTATAAATGTTTCTGTATATATATATATATATATATATATTGATAAAGGGTACATTGTCACCTCCAAAACGGAGACCCTTCATACGTTGTGACCTCATATATGACGCTGTGACCTCCAAATTCGGAGGTCACAGTGTTTAACCATATTTTTGACATTGGGGGAGTGTCAGTAATCAATCTGTGCAAAAATATTTCGGAGGTCACTTTGACCCCCCAGTCTCTTAAAAAGGAACTTTTAGTTCCACCATATATGAATTGGCGCTAGTGTCGCTTTTTAATCAGATTCAGCCACACCAAAGTTACCTCCGTCATGTATACGTACATTTGTTACCTCCGAAATTTGGCAACCTTGCAATATTTCGCGCAGTCATAGATGTTCAGACTTGATGATCTTTAATACTTCTTATATGTTATTTGTTACGCAGTTTCGCTTTTGCATCTTAAGTGTAAAATAACGATTTAAGTTAAAAATATATCTTCCAGGACTTAATTAATAATCCAGAGAGTCGGTTTTCAAGGTAAGTAAGTTTTTAGTACATAATTAGGTAAATGTTTATAGAAATGGATATTGTAAAATAATTCTTTTAGATACTAGTAATGATAAAATCATTACCAAAAAAGATAAAGAATTTTAACAAAAAAAGTACAAAATAATTCCATTGAAAATAAGAAAGTTGGTATCGTCCCAAGGAAAACCGAACACCATGTATAAATGAAAATATAATATTTTAAAAATATATTTTACTTCGTGAATATTTGTTTCTTACAAATTTTTTGTGACTCCAGTAGTTTCTGAGATAAGTATATGGGTCACCTTACGTGAACCACCCTGTACAATTTAACTGATTCGTCAAAAATAACACTTACAATTACACCGCATTAAAAAATGTTAGAAAATTACACCACAGTCAATAAATTACACCGCAATTGGCAACACTGATTTAATTTTCATCGAAGAATATATTATAATAATAATAATAATAATAATAACTTTATTAACGGTATGACCAATTTACAATATATATACAAATACAAGAATCCTATACAACACAATGTAAACAATGCAATAAATATATACACATATACATATATTACGACACGTTAAAAATTCGTTCTGAGCTTATGTTTAAATGTTGGCAAAGAAACATTAAAAAAGTCTATTTCTAGCTTATTCGCATTCACACATATTCGATTTAGTGGCATAAATCTAGCATAGTCTGTTCTTTGTGTTTTTAAGTAAAACAAATTTTTTTGCCTCGTTTGCCTTTGAGGAATATTAAAGTGTATCATTTGAAGCAGCTCAGGACTGTTTATTAAATTATTTAAAAGTTTATACAAAAAAACCAGACCATGTTCGGTTCTTCTAACAGAAAGTAATTTTAGGCCGATTAACTCTCTCATAAACATATAGTCTAGGTTTTCTGTACTCACATTTAACTTATAAGCACAAAAACGAAGGAATTTGTTCTGAACTTTTTCAATTTTGTTTTCCAAATTTGAAAAATGTGGGCACCAAACAACACAACAATATTCCAGGATGCTACGTACAAAGGACATATATACATTTTTTATACAATAAATATTGTTAAAATCTCTTAAGCTACGTTTTAAAAACCCCAGCATTTTTAGAGCTCTGTTTACCATTTGATCAATGTGCTCATTAAAAGTAACCTTGGTATCAAAGTAAACGCCTAAATCTTTGATTACACTTACATTTTCTAAAATAACAGAATTTAAACTATACGGAAAAACAACAGCATTTTTAACTCTATAAAAGTTTATGGTTTTACATTTATTCACATTTAGTTTAATTAAGTTTCTATCACACCATATTTGTATTTGATTCAGGTCTTCCTGGATGTCACAGCAGTCTTCACTATCTTTAATAACTTTGTAAAGCTTTAAGTCATCGGCGAAAAGTAAATATTTACAAAATTTTATGTTATCACCAATATCATTTATGAAACAATTAAACAAAAGTGGAGAGAGATGACCACCTTGAGGAACACCAGACGTAACACTAATTGTTTTGCTTCTAAAATGGTTGTTAATAAGTACTATCTGTGTCCTATGACTCAAATAGCTTTTTAGCCAATGCAATAATTTCCCAGTTATTCCCAAGGCTTTTAATTTATTAAGTAGAATACTATGATTAACTATGTCGAATGCTTTGGAAAAGTCAGTGTAGATAGCATCTACTTGACTTTGATTTTCCAAAGCATTCAACAGGTCTTGTTCGAAAAGAATTAAATTACTTGCCGTAGATTTACCTCTACAAAAACCGTGCTGTTCTTTGATTAGGACATCTCTAAACAAAGGCGTTATTTTATTATTAACAATTTTTTCCAATATCTTAGGTATCTGGGAAATTCTTGAAATTGGTCTATAATTTTTAATATTAGTTTTGTCACCATTTTTATGAAGAGGTATAATAAAGCTTTCCTTCCAAACGGCCGGAAACTCACAATTATTTAGAGACATATTAAACAGCTCAGTTAGGGGTTTAACCAAGGAAAACCTACATTCTTTAAGAATTAAAGAAGGGACACCATCAGGACCAGCACCAGCACCCTTAGAAATATTTAATTTAGACAATTCATCGAATACATCACGTTCACGAATACTACAGTTATTTAAATGTAAATTACTAGCATAATTATAATCAGGTACTTTAATATCACAATTTTTTACGTAAACAGAGCTAAAAAAATCGGCAAATAAATTTGAAATTTCAAAAGTATTATCAGATGTAACATTATTATAAGACATTTTATTTGGCATGAGGTTATTCTTTTTTTTAGTATTCACATACTTCCAAAAATATTGAGGGTTGCAATTGATGTTTCTTTCCAGGGAATCTATATAATATCTATAGCACTCGGCGGTCAAGATTTTACACTGATTTCTCAGAACACTAAATTTATTATAATTAAAATCACTAGAGGACCGCTTAAACTCTTTATGAGCAATTTTTTTTTGGAAAATAAGATGTTTTAGCTCATTTGAAAACCAAAGAGGAAATGTATGCTTTACTACCTTCTTCCTAGGGACATATAATGAAAACATGTAATTTAAAATTTCGTAAAAGGAATTCAAACAAATATTTACATCATTACTAGCAAAAACAACATTCCAATTAACAATATTTAAATGTTCATTAAGACTAGACAAATTTGCATTTTTAAAATCAAAGTAAAAATATTCAGTTTCTATTTCATTATTGGAATTAGACAAACATATTCTCAAACAGATAGCCGGATGATATTTATCACATGGTAACAAATTATCATTAGCCATTTCCGTAATAACACTTAAATCATTACAAAAAACAAGATCAAGCATATTATTATAAACATTTTTCACAACATTGATTTGATACAGATTACAAAGCGCGAAGCATTCGGAGACTATACGACACTTTTCACTAATTTGACCAGATGCACGTACACCATGTTCGTCATTGAGCCACTGCGTGTCGGGTAGATTGTAGTCGCCATAGAATAAAGATGTTACATCATCATCCAGGTTGTCCATCAATGATTCAACACTAGCACAGTGGGAGTTATATACATCGACAGTAGAGTTGGGGGGTAGATAAACCACCCAGGCGGCATTTCAGTGGTGTAATAACCCAGCAATGTCCATTTAAGAGATATTTTAAAAATACGCTATTAAAAAGTATTTTCTTGCGAAAAAGATATTTAATAAATTATATAATATTATATAATAAATATTTAAATATTAATTTAGTAATATGTGCAACAACATTAGTTAAGTACGGCACTGGACAAATATTTTTTGGATTATTTTTTGACGTTTCTAAAAAACAATAAAATTTTATGTGTGTATTTTTTATTCAATCAAAACATTATTATAGTAAGATGCATGCATTACCGCGAAAACAAAACGGCATCTCTCATTAAAATAAAATCTGTCACTGACAGACTGTCAGTATACTATACTATAGGTACTATAGACTATAGTAATAAATAAAATAAGCAATTCTACATCGAAAGAAGAAATAAACAAACAAATAAATGAGCAAATAAGGAAAAATACATCCAAAACACCCAAATTAGTAAGTTATATTAGTAAATTCTAATTTAGTAATACCTACATGTCAAAAAATCATCTATCAGAATACCAGTTGGGAGTTTAATAAATTAGAAAATATTTTTTCAGATATTTCTCAAACTTGTTGTCATAAGGCAATAACCAGGCAAGCCCTATGGACAACAAGTTTTCGAAATAGATACCTGTCAAATTATTTTCAATTTATTCTCACTAGTAATATTACTGTTGAAAATTGTGAAAAATGTGATGGAAATTGACAGTACAAAATATGTGACTTTGCCGTTTTTGATATTAGACCCCTGATTAATATGAGAAGTAGATATGAATGTGAATATTAGGGTGTCCGTTGTTTCCCAAGTTGTTTTTTTCACTTTGGTATAAGTAATCTAAATTATTTGTTTACAGTCTAAAAACAATTACAAAAAATAATTTTTAATAAAATGTACATGAAGCAATACACATTAGATATTTTTGTGGAAAATTTTATGCTCTACAAAAAAGATCTTTCAAATTTTTTTCGTAAAACCATCTATTTAAATAATATAATATATATTAATAGTACCTACTTATAAAATTATAATTATTAAAACGTACTCGTACATTATACATGGTGATATTGCGCCCTTAACATCTCATAAAAACGCTTCAAAACATCGAACGTATTTAAAATAATAAAATTAAATTAAATGATCCATGGTTGCCAATTTTACGGACGCCAAATATGCGAAATCATGAAAACGGAATAATAATGAATATACAGACGGTCGACTAGAGCGCAACTAAGCCAAGCGTAATAATGCAGAACTAAAATATACAAAAACGTACATAACACCGATCATGTGGCGTCCCGATAAAATTTTACCAGAAATGTTTTTACTAAAAAATAAACTGAATTGTGTGGGTAGTCGATATGGCGTCCATATACGGAAGCCGTATGCCAATCGGACGTCATATCCAATGTAATACGTCAATGTATGGACGCCATAAGTATAGCGGGATGTATATATATATATATATATATATATAGTATATTGTATAATATGAAGATTTGGTTACATATTATGTTAAACATGACCATATAATTTCACAGAATTGGCAGCTTTGTATTTATTTCTGATACATATGAATGCATATGCAAGAAATAATTAATATTGGAGCAGAATTCTGCTAAATGCTTTATCTACTATAAAGCTTATTCTAAGGTTTTTATTTCCCAATGTAATAATATAACATTTATAAACCTAAAGGTGATGAGGGACATAAAAAAAATAATGTTACTTCCTTACTTTGAAAGCCTTCAGCTGCGACTCGTTTAAATCGTAGAAATATTCCTCTGGAAAATTAAGAGGCCTGAATTGTTTGTTGTTTATTGTGTAATAGATGGGTTCTTCATTATCCATAAGGTACTCGGGTATACGAACGTCGGATTTTACGTCGACCAAATACCTTTTCATCGGAAAATCGTTTATATCCATTTGTTGGAGAACTGTAATAATATGATAATGTATTATGGCATGGCCCTTTATAATTATACCTATTACGTACATTACGCGATTTTTGAACTTTTTCGATCCCCCACCCCCAATAGTGACGTCACAAAATCAAATTTTATCCGAAAATTTGAATAAGTCCAACGTGACGTCAAGTAGTTAATGACCCCTAATATTATTGGGAAAATTATTATGAACCCTTGAAGATATCTTATCATTTATATAAATAATTAAAATCTTATATATAAAATAATAATTATACATATAATTGTAAAATTATAAGAAAATGTTACATAATGTATAATTATAATAATAATAATACATTAATTTGGTTTATAAGCTTTAAAGCTTTCAATTTCAAATTTCATTTTATATGACATTACATTAATGAATATATGTATATTAATTGAAGAATAATTTATTTATAAATTTAGTTAGGATGGATATTTATGTTGCTGAAAATGTATTATTATTATTATTATTATTATTATTGTAAAGTAAATCACAAATGATAAGGTGACTACACATACATGCTATAGTGAATGATCCCCCATCTATCTATACATGATGTAATTACATTAATATACATATGTGAACAATGCCTTGGGTCAAGAAATTAATTTTAATTTTTTTAAAATTAAACTCAAAAATTCTGTTGTATATAGTAGTATAATATATATTATTAATATGTATACATTTTATATTTACCCTCTTTTTGATGAAATCTTCCACTCATATTCTATTTTCACCATAAATATCAAAATGGGTATTTTTATACCATCTAAAAAAAACCAAACAAAAAAACATGATATAGTTAATTTTAATTAAATGATAAGCTACATTTAAGCACTTATATAAAACCAATATATAAATCTATTTTTCAAAATTAAATTACTTGGTATAAATTTAAAAATAAAGAGATATATTTCGATGACCTATCGGCATTAGGCTATTGATTAATAGGAAATTATTAAATTATAATCTTATTAATTTTATAAGTTATTTAAGTTTCATTAGGTTTTGGTAATCAATTTTTAGCAAGGTTTATGGAATGTTTAATTTTTAAATAATGTATACTTCCTTGCTTGTTTATATTCTTTATTTGCGACTAGTTTCGGTTATACACCATCTTCAGGCAAACTACAAATAATGAGGTATTAAATAAATATTTAAAAAGTTTTAAAGTTAGGTTAAGTTATTTTGGTTAAAATATTTGTTAATTACGATTATTATAAATATAGTTAAACAAATAAAATTAGTATCTACTTACAATGTCAAGTTTTAAAGTATGAGTTATTCTATTTTAACTCATACTTTAAACCTTGACATTGTAAGTAGATACTAATTAATTTTATTAAATTAATTTTATATGTTTAACTATATTTATAATAATAACTATATTTATAATAATCGTAATTAACAAATATTTTAACCAAAATAACTTAACCTAACTTTAAAACTTTTTAAATATTTATTTAATACCTCATTATTTGTAGTTTGCCTGAAGATGGTGTATAACCGAAACTAGTCGCAAATAAAGAATATAAACAAGCAAGGAAGTATACATTATTAAAAAATTAAACATTCCATAAACCTTGCTAAAAATTGATTACCTACCTACCAAAACCTAATGAAACTTAAATCTGCCAATAAGCCAGAAACAACCCACAATTTATAAGTTATTGTTAGAAGATACGTTTGCACACTTGCTTAAACTCAGCAATTAAAAATTATATATCGTTTATCACCTGATAACTGAAGTCCTATAATTCCTGTGATTCCCCTTGCCATACAATGGGATTTTACTGAAAAAAATAGATGTTTGCAATTATTTAATATTTTCAATAGCAAAATACTAATAACAATACATACACATTAGTTATTTTTTTAAATCACACCAAAAAAACATCTAAATATTAAGTTTTTTAACTATTCATTTCACCGCTACACCACAGAACAAACAACGCTTTATAACAGTCTCTGCCAAAGAACACCAAAGAAGCAAAACCGAAATAGGGCGAGAGGAAACAGCCGAAGGTACCCGAACAAGTCTGAGATGCACTGGATCACGTCGTTGCCAACTTTAAATAAACAAAAACGTTTCTAACTTCACATTTATTATTATGTTTTTAAATCTATATGAAACGGGTTTTTTGAATGAAATTAGCGAAATTTTTTTCTGATATTCGCAGAAATATGCTCCGGTGTTTTAATTAACCCATTGCCCATTTCTAAAAGCATACGCGTAATTAGGTATATAGGTAAATTGCGGGGTGGGGGAAGCCAGTTTTTCAACGGACATATTATGAAGAGATGCTGTCAAATTTTGTTCGTATTGGAAAGTGCTGTAAAAAGTGAAAAAAAAACAAAGTTAGGTAAGCAAAAAGTGATTATTAATTCTTCGCATGTTCGTTCAGTTATTAAAAACAAGTTTTAAGAATCTAATTGGTTTTTACGGGCTTTATAAAATCAGCTGTTTTATAAAGCCAGTGGCTTTAAGCCACGCCCATCGTCTAAAAACAACAATTCTTAAAATTGCTAGGTACAATTAAATGATTTTTATATTATTATATCTAACTTTTTTAATAAACTTTTATGCAAACAAGCAACAGGAATCCAAAAAGTAGATCAAGAGCTTAAGGATTTCATCTTCAAAATAGGAGCCACAAGCAGTCCGAGGAACTTTCAGGGTCTGGTGAGAAATTTTTTATTTTGACTTGTAATTCTTATTAGTTTGTCAAAATAATGTCAATCATAGGTAAATGTTTTATCTGGGGTCAATATAATAAATAATTAGTATTTTTCTATAAAAAATGTTTTTCTCTAAACAATATAAATTAATATTAAATAAATTTAAAATTTTAGCTTATTTCATTTCATTTCATTAGTTATTTCAAAAATCATATAAGGCTTAATACCTATTGTAAAATTTGTTTAATATTAGTTTTATATTGTTTAACATTGTAAAATCTGTTTTATATTGTTTAATACTAGTAGAATATTGTTTAATATTGTAAAATTTATCTTATACTGTTTAATATTAGTGGTTTGTTGTAAAATCTGTTTTATATTAATTTTATATTTTTTAAAATTTGTTATATATCGTTTAATACTAGTTTTATATTGTTTAATATTGTAAAATTTATCTTGTACTGTTTAATATTAGTTTATTTATTAAATTTTATTTATAAAAACTTTCTAGTTTTATTTATTCTTATATTAAATGCATTATACCTGTACATTACATTTAAAATTCCCGCCTAAAGAAAGAAAGGAAAAATAATCAGCGCCATCTATGCATTTTTATCTAAAACATAATAGACATGAAGCTCGTACGTAACATTATGTTGTGTAAGTTGGTAGCCTTGTGGCCTGTGTCAAGCGCATCTCAGACTTTCGGGCGATTATTGTGTTGCCAACTTTTAACCAGGAACTTTTGCTTCTTTGGTGTTCTTTGGTCTCTGCTTTATAATGTGCTTATGACAACTAAGCCAGTGTTGCCAGGTCAAAAATTGACATTGAGAATTTTGTATAGAAGTCTCCTGGCCCCAGTGTTGCCACCTTGCGAAAAAACAATATTCGTAAGGGAAACCAAAAATCATCAGTTTGTATTAAATAAAACGGCCTTGCAACATCTAAAAATTGTCAAATACAACAAAAATAAATATTAAATTAAGTTTTCAATATTTATTTATAAGGCGGGAAATTTGAAATACGTAACATAATTTTTGTGTGTAATCACCATAAGAAAGTACTTTCACTATGGTAATCACAATGTGTAGGCTCCATAGTAATCACTGTGAACATGACAGAGCGACAGAGCCTTTACTTTTAGTAAAAATATTTACGTATGTGATAAAATTAATTTTGCAAATAAACGATCGTTGCTAAAAAAAAGAAAATGTACTTACTTTTTGAAATAGTAATTAATGTTACGTGCACACGAAAATGATTTTTAATAAAAATTATGTTTACGTACAAAATTTTGCTAAAGTGGGATTTCGACGCAAAGACAATACAAAATGCAAATGCAAGCATGGCAAAACCAGAAACACGTTTTAATGTATTATGGGGAATCACATACTGTGAAAGCCATCTTTTGAAGAAACCACCAAAATTTGCTGATCAGAATTTATACTTTATCTAATGATTAGATTCTAATCTATGATTTATCGTTTAGTCCACAATCAGTTGTGTGGAGTGATTAATCAATGGTTTATCGTTTAGTCGTTTAGTCCATAGTTATAACATTTCTGATTTATATTTCTCATCAAATGTTACCAAAATAGTTTTTAAATATAGGTACCTAAATATATTACATCTACAATGTTAATGCTAGTTAAGTAGGTAATATTATTTAGTATATACTTAGTATGTATATAGGTACTACTAATAATTATTAAACATAACACATTAGATGCAAAACTCGTTTTTTGCAAATTTTTTAAAAATATATATTTTATCCTATGTTATGTAATTAATGTTATATATTAAAATGGGTAGTTCCTTAGGGTCCATAAAGAAGCACCTGAAACTTTTTTTTTCTAAATTCCAAAGACTAAAAATAATTTATAATAACCTTTATCCTACCAAAAAGTACGCCACTGATCGACTAGGAACCGCAGCAGGGTTGGGTATCTACCTACATTTTTGTTTTCGACATGTAGAAAACCTTTTTCGACGTTTTCGACGGTAGAAAACGTAAAAAAGTAGAATACTGTCAAATATCAAAAAATGTGAGGTTATGCAAGTTTGTTGTTTATTATGATTTGTTAAAGGTTGTGAAAAATCAGACACCTACCATAAATTTGAAGTTATTTGGAGTTTTTTAACATTATTATGGTGGGAAAAAAAGGGCCACGTTTGGTTGGGAGACCCCAACATAATTTTTGGCATGAGGGCAAATTTTTATCAATTATAGAGAAGTGGAAGGAGAAGGTCGAATAAGGTAATTTACGTAGGTAGAAAACCCTATAGGTTTTCGACGCAAGTCGAAAACAAGTTTTCTACCCTTTTCTACCAAGGTAAATTACCTAAGGTTTTCTACTGACCCAACCCTGAACCGCAGATTAACCTAACCTATTACTTTTTAATGCAGTGTTGCCAAATGTAAAATTAAAAATGTATTACCTTATATGAGATGCTCAAAATGATTTCATTATTTAGAATGCAAGCTTAAACTCTGCGAAGCATGCTTTCGCGCACCCGCGTAAAAATGTCTGGACTATTTACAATTAAGTTCCTGAGTTGCTGCCCACATCCCGTCTCTCGTAAATGTGGCCTTATCGGTATACAAAACACTACGAGTCCAATCAGCATCTTCTTGATTTTTCTGTATATACCAATGGCAAAATTCCAACCGCAGTTCATAATCTCCATCCTGAAGAGCTTGAACTTTTTGTAGGTGATATGGGTACAAACTATTTTCGTGAATCGTGCGCCACGTAACAAAGTTGGACATTTGTCCAAGTTGCAACTGCCCATGGGCAGTTAATCGTCTTGTACTAATTCTCGGATTTGCTTCCACTTCGTCCAAAATTTATTCTTCAAGGGCCACAAATTCACGTCCCTGAGCCCGACCCCTATCACCAACAAATGCACTAAATCTTTCGCGGTCCCTTAAACTTTGCACAGCACGTACAAAAACGCCATAGCATAAAATCTTTCGCACAAATTACTTATTATTATTACTAATAAAATACAACACAGATTATACAACTGAAATACAAATTTTCAAACTTTCAAATATTTATAAAAGAATAAAAACCTGCAAAAACTTGAAAAAAAATAAAAACCTGAAACCGCTAGATTTTAGAATTACCTTGTGTAAACTAATGATTTTTTAAAAATCGTTTTAACATTGTGATTTAAAAACATACTTATAAAAAATATATTTAAATTTAGACACGCTAGATTTAAACTTTAATCATAATTCGTAATGATTTACTTTGTCAAATTTATGTTGTTATGGTTGGTTACCAACCGTTGGTAACACTGTCAAATTGTAGGTTATGTGCGCAAATTGTAATATCTTAACTAAGGGAAGTGATTTTGGGAGTTTGGATTTATTTACACAAATTGAATGTTTAACGATTAACCTGTGAACTTGTCCTAATTTCATCTGAGTAAACAGAAAGAAAAAAACCGATGAAAAAATTAATTTTATGGAGTTTTTAAATAGGTAGGTACTAATTTTTCTTATCATTGCTTAAGTTAATAGCTGGATGAGTAAATAAATACAGAATGGTATTAGAGCTTTAAGGGCATAAAACTTTTGTATTTATTGAGTTTTTATTTATTTTTTGCAAGAAAATTTTTTAGTAACAATTTTTGTACAACTGGCAACGCGCAGCTACTTTGTTGGTTTGTATCTATGTACTGAGAGAACACAAGTGTGTAACCAGTGGCGTATCACAAAAAATATAAAAAACTTCTAATGCATATATTTTCTTTATCTTTGGGAAAATATCTTTTAAAATATTTTTCCATTACACCTTATGTCAAAAGGTATTCAGTATTTTAATATATAACATTAATTACATAACACCCTGTATGTACATTGCCTACAGCATAACTAAGTAAACCAGATGCATAAGTAGAATAAAATTCATTTAAAAACTTTAAAACCTTCAAACTGGGTATTTGTTTCTCCCTGTCGGATGCAAAACTCGGTATTTGCTGTTGACCAATCACGTCGCTAGTATACGTATTACGTGACGATAGGTAATAGTAAGTGTTATTTTTTGGTATTTGCACTTTACACTTGCAAAACTTGGTTTTTGAACGAGGAAGATGCAAAACTATGTTTTTTTATCTTTTGATTTTAATTATTTACTAAACTACCAAATTTTAAAGGATTTTTTTAAACTTTTTTGAATAAAAATGATGCAAAAGCACGTCTATCCTATTTTTTTTTTCATGTTTTTCTTAAAATCACTTATCCTGCAAATACAGAGTTGTGCAACTAATGTACTCAAATGTTTTATTAAATGACCTATTAAAACACATTTTTATTTATCATTTTAAACTTAAAACTATATATAGTTATTATAATAATGGCTATTGTTAAGTTAAGTGGTCATAAGGGTTAGGAGTAATCCCTTAGGTTTTAATTGGGTAAATTTAATAGTTTATTATTTGTTGCATAATTTTAAAGAAATACGTATGTACATTTTAACTAATTTTTCCTGTGGTGAGCGGTCTCTTTGATAAAGGTTTTAGAAAGTAAAAACATGGTGGTACAAATAAATTATAAAATTTAACAACAGAAAACAAACTTTAAACTAAATAAAAATATATCATTCTATAGATACAGAAGATAAAGGAGACTATTAGTTGGTACCCTATATATCATGTTAAAAAAATAGTACAAAATTTATCACCTTCCAATTTTGAAACGAATATTTTTTCTTTTTAAGATTCACACTTGTTAATAAAACAGTAAATAATCTAAATGTGTTTATTGTAAGCTTTTGATTACATATTTTTAAACTAAACAAAACAAAAATGTTATATGTAGTAACAGCGTTGTTATCCTCATAACAAAAAATAAACGTAAAAAATAATAATTGAGGTATAAAAAACTAATGTTGTATTTATTTGTGGTAAGCAGGGGCTCTAGCGCCGTCCACTTAGAGCGCAGGCAAATTTCCCCTGCTAAGTTCGTAATTGGTCCCGCCAATTAGGGCGCCGCATTCGTTACATTTGCCTGACATTACTGCGTCGCCGCAATTTTCAATAGCATAGACATGCCCTTTGGGGCACTTGAACCAGTGTCCCTTTACCATGCCCATCGCTTGAACTACGCTGAAACGCTTGGCTTCAGTTATTTGCACTACCGAAGCCCCTCGAGTGTTTAGTTCTTTTAGATTCTTCATTATATTGGCGTCAACTTCATTGGTGTACCTAAACACAAACACCCAATTGGAGTCTCTTGTTCAATCCAGTTAATAATATTTATTTTTTATGGTCCAACACAGTGGTTTCCAAACTTGGGGACGTAAAGTAATGTTAAGGGGGGCGTGACAGCACAGAGAAAATTCTGTTTCTAAATAAAAATTCAACTTTTTTTAACAAAATGTTTAATTGGATTTAACAGCATTATTCGAAGAATTAATCAAAGTTTTTTTATGAAAAAAAAATTAAAAATGGCAAATTTAAAAAAATTTAAAAGACTCATTTAGCCAATTTTTAAATAACTTTTTTTTGGTTGGCTAAATAATAAACAAAAAATCTGAGAAACATTTTTAGTGAGGAAGAAAAATTCAGCCAAATCAAAATGGGGATCAAAAGTGGTCGATTTGGCGTGAAATTCCCCTTATTATACTCTTTAAGTCTTCTTATACGATTTTCTGTTAAAATTAAGCTTTATGTAGAACAAAAATTGTCTCTTTGTGGATAAATAACTATCCTGGAACATTTAAATACAACGGAAATGTTTTATATTGTCAAGTTTGTGAGAAAAATCGTGCGCCAAAGAGATTCAAATATTATTTAGTTTCATATTTTGTCATGCACATCTTACGAATATTTTAATCTTTTTGTTGCATTGAAAATATCACCAGGAACAGTTCCTCAGTAGCGTATTTAATAAATTTAGATATAAATTAGATTTTACAAATTAATAATTTAAAATTATAAATTATTATGAATCATAATCCCAGTTATGCATTAAATTCGTCGTGTATAATCTGGAGACACTGATTGCATAGCTTACCTTATTTTGGAAAACAAATCGTTTTCGATGATGCGCACAAGTTCGAATACTTCCGTTTCGACCTGCCCATAGTGCGGAATAGCGACGATTCGTTCGAACTGCACAATGCGTTGTTGCCTCGTCAATTCCTGATTTATGTCGTCGATTTCCTGGTCGGAGATTCGATCGTCCAGGTCGTTTTCCAGCACTTTCATTATCATTTTGACTTGATTTATTACCCATTTATCCTCAATAAGGTAACTAATACTATTGACCCTTCTCAAGCCAAATCTCTGCCTTAAAACATCACGTTCATCACCTTCGACTTGACAAAGTTTTGCAATGTGCTCAAAAATTTGTATTTTGGCTTGAATTGCATTCAATTCTGACGCCGAGGGTAGAGGCCTGTTGCGACGTTTTGTATTTGGAGTGATGCGCTTCAATAAGTCTTGCATGAACGGTTTAATCAATGGTGTACCTAAAAAGTGGGGTGGGTATAATTAATAACTATTTTTTCTCAAGCTATTTAAAGGGTGACGAAAAAGAAAAAAGCCTGAGTGAATACGCAAACTATCGTTTAAAATCACACTCACTTTCTTTGACTTTCGAATATATATTTGATAATGTTTTATGCAGCTCCAATCTCTTCATTTCGTTGTCATTGTATGTTCCGTTGAGTTTCCGCTTGACCTTTTCGACGTCCAACATCGCCTGTTTGAGGTAGTCGCTAAATCGCAAAGTTTCTACGACTGGTGACTTACACTTCGGACAAGCTTTCACCTGAATCTCACTGTCGGTCTGCATAAACCAGCGTTTCAGGCCTTTGCTTTCCAGCACGTGTCCGCAGTCTTTGAGCTGCACGAATCGTGCATCCGGTTCGTCTTCGTCTCCTAAAAACACGAAAACGAAAAAAAGTTTTTATAATTCAAAAAAGGAACCCAAAAAAATGCTGATCTGTGCGTACCGAAAAATATTTCGGTGAGCTCCTTTTGATCGCATATGCGGCACAAAGTTGGACACGGATCTCCGCAGAACCCGACGCAGGGGTGTCCGCATTTAAGGCTTTTATCGCAAGGCTTTTCGCAGGGAGGTACCGTGCAAATTTCTCCGCATTTTTTGGTGCACTGCTGATGGTCGCATTTTCTATCGCAACGATGTGCACAAGGAGTACACTCCTAAAAGCAAAATACAAATAATTTTAAAACACCCCATGTTTACATAATAATAATTATGTTTTGTAAAATACTTAATATTTCTCACAAAAATGATTTATAACCATAAAACCGATTATATAAGAAAAACTTGTATGAAAAATAATTATATTTTGAAAAATAGTCAAGTAAAAATGTTATTTCAACTAAAAAACTGATTTTATTAGTAAAACCCCGTAAAAAAATTTTGTACAAACCTGTCCGCACTTTCTTCCGCATCTGTCATGCGGACAACGGTATATGCACTTTTTCTGGCAGGGTTTGCAAGCCTGCCGGCACGGAACCGTGCACTCGTGGTTGCATACCAGCGGAACTCCGCATTTTTCGGCACACTTGACGTGTATGCGACCTTGGTAACATGCGCCGCACGAACCCAGGCACTTGTGCTCACATTTTAGGGTCGTTCCGCACGGTTCCTTGCAAAAATCAAGCAAGTTTATATCGGTTGAGCCACGCGTCACTAAAACGCCAATAAAATATGAATTATGTTTATTTTAGGTGATTTTTTGTCACCTTTTGTGTTTATATAACACGGCATTTGTTTTATGACGTGGCCGCAAGGCGAATTCACCTCGCATGCAACAATTTCTTTGCATTCGGTGGTGCAAGTCTCCTTGCACCTTTTTGTGCACGTATGTCCGCATTGTAACTGTCTCGGACATTGTCCCAAGCAAAATTTCCTATCGGCTTCTTCATGACAGGCTACCTTTATTTTGTGACCACAATCGGGAACAACTTTATCAACCTAGAACACAAACGAACAAATAGAAGAATTGCGTTTGGTGTGATAAAATATTGCTTGATTTGAAGAAAACGCCGAATGATGAGTAGCAAGCTCGAAATAAAAGTTTAATTACTTTTTGAATTTTTATAGTTTCGGACTAATTTAATTCGAAAAATAAAAATATCTTTCGTCATTGCTGGTCACATATATTCACTGATCTGAAATTGATGTAATACCTTGTAAGTGCACAAACCACAGGGCTCCGAGCACTTATTCTTGCATTTGTGACCGCATTGCACCGTTTTGGTGCACGGTTTCTTGCAAACGATCTTATCAACGTCCAAATTACAAGGGACCCTGTAAAAGTGGGGGCAAACGGTTCGTGTCTTCTTGACTTCCACAAGACATGGATCGCACTCCTGGAAACATAATCTGCGGCAACGGTGGTGATCGGCCTCGGTCGTGCAGCCTTTCCTAAACTTCTGACAGGGTTGTCTGCATTGGTACTACAACAGAATGGTTTATTTTTTAATTGTATTATGTATTATTATAAATTATGTTTCAGGAGCAAAATGCTACTTGTTAATACCACACGTCTTCTTTCAACAGTTTTGTGGATAAATATTTTTAGAAATGTTTTAATTCACCAAAAGTACCTATTTGATTGATCATCAAATAAATTGTCATTTTTTGGGGGATGATAGTTCACGCCAAAGTAAGCAAGCTTTTTCTTTTCCTGCACTAATGCTACTGTTTTTAAATAAAAAAATCATGAAAATTGACACAATTTAAAACTATACCCTTATTTAATTTTTCCGAAAAAACTTGCCAAAATTGAAAAAAAACCTCCATATTTTCAAGTGGTAACATATAATATTCAGGGTGCACCACTGCGTATTGTCACAAAACACAACACAAGGAGCCGAAATTCATGTAAACAAGAATGTTCCTAAGATAAGAGGGCGCTGGTGTTCCGTTTATTATGAAACAATTGACTAATTTGTACCGAAACGCTACCAAAAGAGCAGACGGCAGTTCGCATCGACAATCAGCGCCGCTGGTGGTGAAAAACAAAGACTTAATTTGTGCAATTTGGAGGGCAGGTTTATTAAGATTGGGCTCCTTGTGTAGGCTCCATGGTATATGTATTCAAAGCTAGCGCAGGTCAAAAATGACTCGTCTCGGCGGATTTTGCTTGTAATAAACTGACGTCAAACATAAACGTGCCCGTCTAGCTTTTTTTAGTCAACTTATTATTAAACCAATGAAAAAAGTTATGCCACTTATAGAGATGAGCGGTCTACCAATTGTTTTTATGTTTGCTTAAGTATAATCTATTGATATTTGACAAGATCTTGTGCCACAAGGCACCACTGCGTCATGTCGGGTTTTTGGATTCTCGGGGATTCCCTATCGTATACGATAGCTAATCTCCAAGGGAGTTTATTTAAGTATATCTTTCTCAATTGATTTTAATAATAACCCTGTTAACTTACCTTTAAGTGGTGGGGATCGTTTTTGACGTGGCAATTTTTCATGCAGGCGTGTCCGCACTTCATGCGCACATCGCACGGAAGCGGACACCGGAATTTATCAACGTGCATGTGACATGGCTTGTCGGCTTCGTGGCCGCAGGGCAGCTTTGTCTTGACCGGTTCGCGGCACTTGTAGTTCGTGTGGTCGATGTGGCACTCGAGCGACACCTGGTGGCCGCACACCAAATCTCGCAGCACGCGGTACGTGCACGGCCCGCAATCCTTGTAGCATTCTTTGAGACATTTGTGCTCCGGGTTCGAGTCGCACAGCAACCTGTTGATATCATAGAATGATTATATTGAATTGCTTTCTGATAAACTTATTAATAAGTGACACATTGACTTAGTTACATATGACAATAAGGCACAGTTTGACAAATAAAAACTTAAAGAAAAATGTCTTAGCTAGCAGTATAGCTACTTACTTTGTGCACGGTTCCAAGCAACGCGATACAGCGTGGTCTCTATTTATCACGTGACAAAGCATTTTGCATTCGTGTCCACACGACCACGAACCATTACATTGCAAATCGCAGCCACCTCTTTTAACTTGCAAAAAATCTTCCTTACAATTAACGAGCGTTTTCTTATTGGGATGGACCTGGCACACCAAGGGCAAGCTTTCTCCAATGGCTTCTTGATTTACCAGCGTTTCTTTTACTTTCGGCCAAATCTAACGAAAAAAAGAGATCACCCAACAATTTCGTTTGTGAACATCAATGGCCTTTGATTAAAAAAGGCTAAGGCGCAATCAAATAAACACCACTGACCTCGCTATTTGCAGCCAGCAACTCCATGTTACCGATGATGTATAGACCGTTTCTGGCTCTGGAAAGAGCCACGCACACTCTGTTCTCGATTTTCAAGAACCCGACGGAATTGGCAGTGTTGGAGCGCACCAACGACAACAGAATTATGTCGCACTCTTCTCCTTGGTAGTTGTCCAAAACGGCAACTCTTATGTCACTTAGAAGATCCAGCCCGTCCTTTTCCCTAAGCTTTATTATTTCGAACATTTGGCCCATATACGCCGCCAAAATGGTTATTTGTTTGGCCTTGTAGCCGTTGAGTATCAAATATTTGGCAAGGGCCAACACAAATTCCGCCTCGTGTTTGTTCTTCTTGCTGGAGTCGTCGCACTGTGACTCCGGGTGCCTTAAACAAAGATTTATTTTATCTTAAACCTTTAATGAACATTAACTATAAATAGGGAAGAAAAATTCAAAATTCTTTTAGAAAAAGGAAAGAAGGAAATGGGTTTATAAGTTTATTGTCTAAGAAGAATATATACATATTGCTGAGGAATTAAATATTCATCACTAAACAGTTTACAGAAGGCCATATACAAGAAGAATATTGATGTTTGGGTGCCACATGATTTAACATTCAAAAATGTTATAGAGCGAATTTCATCTACTATTTATTTTGATCTCTGCAAAACTCTCTTAATGGTAGTTCCTTTAAAGAAGCCTGTAAAAATCCCATGGTTCAATTTTCCTTACAGAAACTACAGAAGTTCATTGGAAAATTCAAGGATGTTTATAAGACAACAAACAGGAGATATCCTTACCTGTGATCGATGAAAAACAGGTTTTTCTCTATGCCGGCGATCGAGGGTCGATTCTGCACGGAAACGTGGTTCAGCAGGTTGGGATAAATAGTGGGGGAGACCAGGGCGGATATTTCCGGTCGCATCCGGTGCTGCACGTTCAACGTGTGGCACTTGATCTGGTTGTTGATCATGCGCTCGAAAAGGCTGACGCCCAGCTTGAATTTGGTCTCCATTTTGAAGTCGGCCGTGCTCGGCTTCAGTTGTTGATGATCGCCGATCAAAATCAGGTGCTGGCAGTGCCGAGTGAGGGCGCTGACGATGTGGGCCTCCAACACTTCCGCTGCCTCCTACGACACCATCGAGTTTAAAGGGTTAACTTCATCTTACACGTTTTGTAGTAATGATAACCAACGTTTTAGAATTTTAATTCATAGCAGTAAGAATATTAAATTACCTCCACAATGACTATGGGACACTGGATAGCTTGAAGGGCGGAGTTCATACGGGCGGCGCCGGTGGTGGTCATGCCAATGACAAGATGTTCCTTCATGATTTGGGCGTCCTCTATCGACTTAAGCTCGATCAATTCCGCGTAGATTTCGCGATACAATTCCGCCAATTCGTTCTTTTCGACGATCAGCTTTGCTCTGAGCTCCTGAATCCAATGGAAATACAATTTCCAACGCAAATTTGGCGGCATCTCCTCGGGCTGGTAGAAGTCGCACTCCTCCGGTATTTTCACGTTGAAGTTTTGTTTCCAGCCCCAAGTCAATTTTTCCTAAAATAAAGAAAATGCACAAAAATTCAAATAATAGGTCTACCAAACTCACTTGTAAAAAATTGTAGTCGCCGGTCATTTCTTCGATTTCGTAGTTTAGTTGAACAATTTCTTCTTCTATTTTTAGATCATCGTTGTTTTGATTGTTACATACAGATTCTAATTCGAATTTCCATTTTCTTATGTTGTCCCAAATTTGTGTTAAATCTATTAACGGTTTTACAAACATCTCAAAATCTTCATACAAAATATCGTCCCATACGTTGTTTTCCTCATCATTATTGTCTACGAGTTCTTCAACGACTTCTTTTTCATCACCTAGAATAGGTGCTGTTTCTGGATCATGCTAAAAATACATAGTTTTATCATGATACAGCAAATACAACACTATATCTACCTGATTTATCCCCAGTTCCTCCACATTATGAGCAGGCTTTGCTTCCATCAGCCATCTTATTAAATCATTGTTGCTGGCAGTAGCGAACCATGTTCCCTCATAATTAGGAATAATTTCTTTGAAATGTTCAAATAACATGACTTTATTGAACGACTCAACCTCTTTCAATAGACCATTCTTCTGCTTGATTTGTCCAACAATGTAGGACAAATATATCCGTGTCTGGCCCACAGCGTTTTCATTTTTATTTTCGTGTTGTTTGTGTCGAATGTTGAATTTGGCTAGCGCCTCGTTCTTGGATTGGCCTCCAATGCGCAGTATTTGATGGGTAAATCGAACTACGCCCTCCAGAAATTGGTCCAACGCGTGGTTCGTGTAGCAAATCAGCAAAATCGGGCTGCGCTTGTACCAAGCATGGTGGTTAGCGAGCAGAGTTTCGACGATTTTGAGACCGACATAGGTTTTTCCGGTGCCCGGAGGACCCTGGATGATGGCCAGCTCTTTTTTAAGGGCCGCCTTTAAAAAGAGAGACAAATAGACTACTTTTAAAACCTACTGCCTACTTTATTTATCTCCTCCAATGTATTGTATATTTATAATAAAAAAATAATACTCACCAAATTTCAATCAAATGTTCTTTTTTTTAGGATAAATAATTTTTTTACAAATATATATACCTATATATATTAACTACTTATAGATAACTACTTGTAAAAATATTTATTTTCAATTTTTCGAGGAAAAGTCATTTTTCATCATTTCTTTTGCTTGTTCTAACATAAACACGATTTGCGTTGTATTTGTTGCATTTTGTTGTACAGGGTGAGCAAAAATACAGATTTTCAATTTTTTTTAAGGCTGTATAAAGAGCTTAAAAAAAATATTTAACAATTCTAATTTTGCAAAATCTACAACTGAATTTTTTTGTATAACAAAATAGAAGTTTCTCATCGTAAATGGTATTTATATAACAAGCAGAAGAAATTATAAGTGACTACTTCGAAAAATTGAAAATAAATATTTTTACAAGTATAGTTAAATCCATCCGTGGATATATACAGTGCACTGTATATTAGGGTGAGCCAAAAAAACTCGATATTTTTTTTTCTTGCTCTCCACCCAAAATATCGTAGAATATGTCCGAACAAATATTCTGTTAAAAGCGGAGCTCATAATTTCAATTTTAAGAGGTGCTTTTGCCGCTTAAATAGCACAGAAAACTGACTTTTTTACCTTATTTATTCTTGCAACCTAGGAAGAATTTTTTTTTTCATGAAATCCATGACTTATTCTTACAAAGCAATAAATTTTGACAAAAAAATCTTATTAAGCCGAATTTCTATTTTCATTATTTGATTTTTTACAGAGCTTTACTGTATATATTGATTCTCAAATTTTTAAAGGTTTCTCTTCGGACCACCCTGTATAATTAATATTTGTAAATACTCGAGATTTGTTGAATTATTTTATTTTGTACATACAATACAGTGTTACCTATATAATAATAAATAAATAAACTTACCTTGAAAGCTTTCAGCTGCGACTCGTTTAAATCGTAGACATTTTTTTCTTCAAAATTTAAAGGCGAAATTTTTTTGCAGTTTATAGTGTAATAGATGGGTTGTTCACTGTTTATAAGGTACTCGGGCTTACGAACGTCGGATTCCACGTCGACCAAATACCTTTTCATCGGAAAATCGTTGAAGTCCATTTGTTGGAGAACTGTTAGAACTTGGTAGTACGGCTCAAAGAACACCTCGCATTCTAACATTAGGTATGGCTTTTTGTTGGGGACACCTGTAAAAAATGTACATTTTTTATATACAGTATACAAATTGATTGGACTATACATACCGAACTCTATGCCAACAATTAATTGGCCCTTGTCTAGATCCTTGGTATCTCTTTGTGCCACCTTGCCAAAAATTATGGTCTTGAAGTTGTCTTGCGTGAAGCACAGCAGCGAGCCGAACATGAATCTCTTCGACTGCGCATAATCCACCTTTCTCTTCTGCCTGCCCGTCTGGAAATCGAACTGCAACCTGAAACATTGCGCCTCGTTCACCGACTCCATGTTCAGGAACTGCACGTTCTGGTAAAACTTGACCGTGGTGATTTTCTCGCCCTTCTGCTCCAGGTAGCTGCAAACGGCTTCGCGCAGCGGGGCCACGAAGTCTTCGCGCAGAAGTCGGAACTGCACGTCCAAGTACTCGCTAACGCTCCCGTACTTTCCCACGGAGCGGTTCTTGTTCAGGAAGAAGGTTCTGCGGGGGTTCGTGATCTCCTCGCCGCTGGGGTAGATGTTTATATCGCGGTAATCCTGGTAGAAAAAATTGAAATATATTTTGAACTAGCTGAATACCCACGGATTCTCTCCCGTAGTTTTAAAGCAAAATTAGGGGTTGTTTTAACACTAAACCAATCTACAAACCAATTTTATCCTGTCCGTTGCTGCGTGAAAATAAAACAAACTGACAAACACAATTTCGCATTATAATATTGGTAAGCAGTTTCAAAAAAATACCCGGAATTGTTTATTTAAAAATACCAAGGCTTTACTTACATCAGGTGGAGGCACATACACTTCCTCATAGGTCGGGTCTGCTTTCAACACTTGTTTCTTGCTTTCGATCTCTTTGATCCGTTCCTCGATAGTGTCGCTCAAACTTTCGATGTTTACTTTGATGAAATCGGAAATGTGGATCTTATGCTCCTTCTCGACTCGCGAAATGCTTTTTTTCAATGTTTTTAACAGTTTTGGCGTCATATTGCATGCTGTTAACGGTGATATCTGTTGAAAAAAAATCGATTATGTTTGTAATTATACTACTAACTGGTAGTTACCTCAAACAAAACCTGGCACACAGTGGAGACTTCTTGCCAAAACCTGCCAGAATCCTTCCAAAATTCATGGTTAAATCGCTTATCCTTCTCCTCTTGAAGTTCAATTGAGACAACATACTTAGTAAGTTGATGCACAAACGATCCTATCATCATATACTTTATTAGATGCTGTTTTCTGCTACTCTTAGCAATTTTGCTCAAAACTCTGACAATAAACACCATAACGTCCGATGTTATGTTATCCGATTCGAGAAGTTTTGTGAACCCTTTCTTGGAATCAGAGATCTTCAAAATTATTGCTTCAATATCATCTAACTCCAGAAGAGATTTAAGAACTAGGTATCCCATGGTTCTTTGATCTCTATTTTGGAAGTCATATTGGTATCTTCTGTCATTTTGTCTATCTATAGATGGGTTGTTTCTCCCATAATTTATGTTTTGGGAGTTTCCACGATTGGGTCTTTCAGGTTGAGATCGTCGATCTTGGTTAGAATTGGAGTTGGAGCTTATTTCTCTCAATTTTTTATTTTTACCCCTACCTTTACCAGATTGAGATCGTTGATGTGGGTTAGAATTGGAGTTGGAGCTTCTTTCTCTCCAATCTTTATTTTTATTTTTACCTTTACCTTTTCCTCTACCTTTATCATGGTATCCAGAACCATCTTCATCTAAACAGAATATTAATATTTATAAAAGTTACTAAATGCATATAATACAGGGTGGTCCATAAAGGTTGACACTAGACTCATCCAAAAAATTCCAATTATATCGAAAATATTGTTTGGAGTGACAAAAAAAAATATTGTGAAAGTTTGAGTCCATAATATTAATATTAAGAGATCTATCATCGCAATTTTAGATTTTTTTCCTGAGCAAGTTTTTGTCTCAGAACTCCCAACCCAGACTGCAATGAAGGTTCGAAAATATTCCAGGAATATACCCTATCATCTAGGAGTAATCTGCTTCATTCTAGGAATATTCCTAGAATGATCCTCTAAAACTTCCAAGCACCATCTAAGAACATTCCCAGTGAATAATCATAAGTTTAGTTGAAATATACCTCTCACCTTGCTTACGCACGATTTAAACTATATAAACCCATAGGTTAAAAATTTCAGTTGGAGATGTGCGTCTGTGATCGCACAGCTTAACAAGACTTAAGTTAGGTTCCTGGGTATAAGTGGCCATAAGAGCTAGAAGTAATCCCCAAATTATATTAAGGGACATTCTCCTAACAATACTCAAGTCTTATGCATGCTGTTTGATACTTTTGTTCCACCCTGTATCTGTTAATAATGCATTAAAATCTTTGAAACCTACTCTATATACCTATATACATACATATAATAAATGTACATATTATAATATATATGTACAAAATTTTAGCAGTCTATAGATATTATTCAAAATTAAAAAAGTTAACTTTTGGATACAAGAGCTAAAATTTTGAGCACTTAAGTGCTAATTTTTTTATGGTAGAGAATTGTTTCAGGGGGTAGCACACATAAAACATTAAAAATAAGGAAATATAGTATAGGTACAAATTTTATATTTACCCTCTCTGTGATGATATCTTCCACTCATATTCTATTTTCTTTTCTATTTTACACAATCTAAAAAACAACAAAAATACATTTTAAAATATTGATATAAATTAAGAGTTTATATAATAATTACAATAATATTATATATTAATGACCTATTGGCAAGCGGCTATTGTTAATAGAATGTATTTGCAAAATTTGTCATTTTTGGTTTAAATAAATAGAATTTATATGTTATCATTATGTTGTACTTCTGACTGAGAAGATTCACATTGTTATCTATGATTCATATGAATATTAAAGGTATCTATTATGTATATATTGTTATATTTATTAATAAATACCATACTTAATTAAGTATGGTGAAGTTTTAAACGCATTTACAAACCAATGAAATTAAAGTAAGGGATAAGTTTTACATAATATATTATATGTAAGTATAATTTTTGATATAGCAAAAATTATACATACCTTATATATAAGTGCAAATAAGTTTTTGGGAAATCTATTATGTCGACTCGGCCATTTTCTGCAGCTACAGGCAGCATTAGTGACTAATGACTAATGATTAAAGCTAATAAAAATTTAAAAAATGCCGACTAAATTTACAATTCTAAATAATTTTCGAAAATTACCAAATCCCCCTTTCGCTACGTCCCTGATAATTGTATATCGTTTACTAGTGATAAATTATCATTATTATAATTTACCCAATAACTTAACAATGAACATTGTGAACGGATACACGTATTTTTCTATGCTTTGGATATTAACATTACCATTACCATTACCATTAACATTAACATCAACACTATTGTGACAGAGGTATAAGTCCTCAAGGGGAATCCCCTTGCCATACAACAGTAATGGGATTTTACTGATAAAAAAAAAGATTTTGGCGATAATTTAACATTTTAAATAGAAACATAATAATAACAATACCTACTAATTAGTATTTTTTTAAAATCACCTCTAAAAAACAGCTAAATATTAGGTTTTCTAATTATTTATTTCACGGGTACACCCACCGCACCACACGTAAGTTTTGACAATTTAGACAGTGTTGCCAGATCAAAAATTAAAAGTGCCTCAAAGTCGGTTTCATATAGATGCGAAATGCGAATTGCGAAATACGAATATTCGCATTTCGCAACTCCTATTATAGGTTTCATATAGATGCGAACTAATTCAGGGACATTTTTTTCACTGAATGGACCTTAAAAAACTATTTGTCCATTAAAAAAAAAACAAAAAACTTCACGCCAAATTAATGCGATTTTCGCAAAATATTGGATCAATCTCAAGATTCCCGCCCCCTAGATTCAAATCTTGCGAATTCGTAGGGTCTGTCGAAACTTCGAAACGCTTTTCCCGCCAAGTCAAATGGACCAATGGGAGCATTTTTCGCAATTCGCATCTACACGAAACGGTCTTAAGTTGTTAAGTGATTTTGTCCTACAATATGACAAAATCACATCCCTGAACAAAATCATCAAACCATAGTTTCCCGAATTTCCTCTAGAAGTCTCCTGGCCCCAGTGTTGCCAACATGCGGAAAAACAATAATCGCACGGAAAACCAAAAATCATCGTATTTCAACTGCATAAATCGTACACCACTTTTTATTAAATAAAACAGCCTCGCAACACCTAAAAATTATAAAATACAACCTAAATGAGTTTTTAATGTTTGTTAATAAGGCGGAAAACTTGAAATTCTAGTACAGTACTTTCCCTATGGTAATCACACATTTGTAAAAATTTGTACATACATAAGTGTAAAATAAATAAACGATAGTTGCTAAAAAAAAAGGAAAATTGACTTACTTTTTAAAATAATAATTAATATTACGTTCAGCCGACCTGCCACACGTGAACACTATACGATTTTTAATAAAAATTATGTTTACGTACAAAATTTTGCTAAAGTCTGATTTCAACGCAAAGACAATACAAAATACAAACGCAAGCAAAGCAATACCGGAAACACGTTTTAATGTATTATGGGGAATCACCAAATACTTTAGCCATCTATCGGAGAAACCATATATATATATATATATATATAACATTTCTAAGTTATATTTCTTGTCAAAATTTACCAAAATAGTTTTTTAATATAAATATATCACAACTACAATATTTGTAAAATAATTAAGCAATACCTAATAAACATATCTACTTAAATGTTGTATTAAATGACCTACTAAAACTTATTTTTATTCGTTTCAAAAGAGTCAACCTACCTAGTGGTGGCAATAGTTAAAAAACTATAGACCTAAAACAGATTTTTATAATTTTACCAAGCAAAATATTAGCGATAGAAAGGTGATTCAAATTTTGATAGAGAGAGGATCCTAAAATAAGAAAATAAGAGACGTGATTTTTGCTGAATTTTTATTTCGGCACAACCTAAGAATATATCATGCCGCATCGAAAAGCAAACACCTTAATGACTATATTATATGTTGCAAACATTTTAGAAAAAGTTTAAATCATAATTTCCTAAATCGGTCGTACTTGACCAGGCAGGTTGAGTAGCGCCATCTATTTCAGGAGCAAAGCTGTTGTCATCACGTACGCGATGACTTCCGCCGCCGATGGTGGCGCCACACTCGTTGCACTTGCTCTCGACCATCGCGCCACCGCAGTCGCCAATAGCATAGACATGCCCGTTGGGGCACTTGAACCAGTGTCCCTTTGTCATGCCCATAGCTTCCACAATACTTCGACGCTCAGCTTCGGTTATTGCCAAGCCGGAGGCCACCTGTTTGTTTAATTCTTTTAGGTGTTCCATAATTCCGTCATCCACTAAATTCGAGTATCTGAAATATTAATTAATATTGTTTGCATTAACCTAGCTAGTAGAAATATGAAGAAGTATTGTGTCTAATAATTAGTGTGATTTTCGTATAATTTTTTTATAGAAGCGTTTTTGAGATATGAATTTTCAATTGTTTTTTTTTCAATTTTTAGAGGTGTTTTGAAGTTTTTGAGTATATAATTGATCGATTTTGACAAACAAGCCCTTAAATTGAGCCCTCTAAAACTTTTACATACTTTTGATATCGATATGGACAAATGTCGAAGTTATCCCAGACTGCAATGAAGGTTCGAAAATATTCCAGGAATATTCCCTATCGCCTAGGAATAATCCGCTTCATTCTAGGAATATTCATTGGGAATATTCCTAGAATGATCCTCTAAAACTTCCAAGCATCATCTAAGAATATTCCCAGTGAATATTCATTAGTTTAGTTGCAATACCTCTCACCGTTGCTTACGCACGCTTGATAACTATATATACCGATAGGTTAATAATAACAGTTGGAGATGTGCGTCTGTGATGGCACAGCCAAGCAATGATTAGAGTGGGACTGATCTACTCAGTAACTCAATAATGGCTATACTTAAGTTAAGTTCCTGGGTATAACCCATACAGCACAAGATGTCCAATGGACGTCCAATGGATTTACATTGGACGTTTGGATGTACAATGGCCGTCCATTGGACGTCCAATGGATATATGTGCTGTGTGGGAAGAGGCAATAAGGGCTGGGAATAATCCCCAAATTATATCAAGGAATATTCCCCTAACAATCCTTGAGTCTTCTGCAGGCAGATACATGGAATATTCTTTTTATGATGCCTGGATTAACCAAAAAGCGGACATTTGATTATGCCAGGAATATTCCTGGGAATATTCTGGGACGCTTGGAATATTCCTGGGAATATTCCTGACATGTGCAGGGAATGTGATTTTGCGGTCTGGGATAATTTCGGCTATTTTACGATTTTTCTTTTATTTTGTAATAGGTATGTTTTTTCTGTAATAAAAACCTTATTAAAATGCATGGAATTTTTTGAGTTTTTTACGTAGTTACTCACCGAAAACATTCTAAATTTAAATTTGACTTGACTCCGCAAACGTGAATTCATTAGTTTCTCTTGTTGGCATCATAGATAAGGGATAAGTTGGTTGGCATAGTGACATTTTACTGTTATTTTTTGACATTTTAACAAGGTATTTTTATTATTGTTTATTTACACAGCAAACGGAAAAATATAGAAGTGTATTGGATGACGCCACGTTTGAATACAGTTTTCTAAATCTCGCCAGGGTATAGAGTTGTATTCGTCAGTCGAGTGTTTCAATACTCTCCACAGTATAGAGGTCGTAATTTCACTTTTGAACTGGTTATCACTCAAGATTATGCGCAATATTCACTCGGATGATTTAAGTCTCTAGTCTGGCGACTCGAGACGTAAACCTCATCCTCGTGAATATTAGCCTGCATTATCTCTCGTATAATAATATACTATTATTGGGTGTTATTTTTTTCTTGTTTTTTTATTTTTGACGAAGAATTTGTTGTTTTTTATATTTATGCATGTATAATTATTGATAGGCCCCTGAATTAATTAAGTCGCCATCTTTGAAAAGCATATTTTTTTTCTTCTTAAGATCCACAATGAAACAGTAAATAATCTAAACGTGTTTATTGAAATCTTTTGATTACACATTTTAAAACAAAACAAAACAAAAATGTTACATGTAGTCACAGCGACAAAAAATAAACGTAAAACCTAATAATCGGTATATAAAAAACTAATTTTGAATTTGATTGCGATAAGCAGGGGCTGTAGCGCCGTCCATTTCGAGTGCCGGCAAATTTCCCCTGCTAAGTACGTAATTGGTCCCGCCAATTCGGGCGCCGCATTCGTTACATTTGCCCGACGTTCTTGCGCCGCCGCAATCTGCAATAACATAGACATGCCCGTTAGGGCACTTGAACCAGTGTCCTTTGGACATGCCCATCGCTTGAACTATGCTGCGACGCTCAGCTTCAGTTACTTGCACTCCCGAAGCCGCTTGCTTGTTAAGTTCTTTTAGATTCTCCATTATATTGGCGTCAACTTCATTGGTGTACCTAAACACAAACACCCAATTGGAGTCTCTCGTTCAATCCAGTTAATAATATTTATTTTTTCAAGACGCTTTTTATGGTCCAACACAGTGGTTTCCAAACTTGGGGGGCGT